CAGGCCTGCAAAGCCACAGGGTCCCTTCTGCTGAAGGGCTGATGGGGAGATACACAGCTAAAACCAAACCATTCTGCAGTCCAGGTCCAGCTCTGTGGTTATCTTCACAGAGGATCACCATGTGGTTAAGGAAACAAGTCCTGAGGTTCAAGTGGGGCTTGATCAAACACCTCGTTTCTCAAACAGCCATGACAAGGAGGGTTGGGCTCAGCTGGAGATGCTGCTTCTGAGGGTGGCAGCTAGTCATCAAAGTCGATTCTGATGGGGCCACCTGTGAGGATGTGGTTTGCCACGTGGACAGATTCCTTCTCCTCCTCTTCCTGGGCCTGGGGTGACCTGCGAAGGCGTCTCCGGCAGCCCTGGGCGCAGCGGGAGGTCTCGTCCAGTGCTCCACACACCAGGATGCGGCAATGCAAGAACACCTCCTGGCATGGGGACACAGTGGGCTGGGTCAGTGCACAGCTCTGGGAGTCACTGCCTGCCAGAACACAGCCATCTCTGTCCCTGTGTCAACATCCATATCCACCATGGCCATCCACAGCCACACTGGATGCTCCAGTGTCTCCTTGTGTGCCCACTCCAGAGGGCCTGGCTGAGACCTCAGAGCACAGGGTCTGTCTGGTAGCCAAGGGTGGACAGACAGGGAATCTATGAAGGCAGGAAATGATCTTCCAGAGGAAGGAATGAAATGCCAGAAATAAGCTTGGAAGAACTTATAGACTGGTAGAAGCTGCATGGCAGGAGCAGGTCAAGAACACATGAAGCCTTGAGGACTAGAGGGAATGGCCTCGATCTGAGACAGGGCAGAGTCAGAGGAGATGTTAGGAAAAAGGTTTTCCCTGTGAGGGTGTTCAGGCACTGGAATATCGACCAGGGAGGTGGTGGAGTCACCAGCCCTGGAAGTGTTCAAGAGACATCTGGATCTGGCACTGGAGGATATGGTTTAGGGATTACAGCAGTGACAGGTTAATGGTTGGACTTGATGATCTTAGAGGTCTCCTCCAACCTTGCTGATTCTGTAATTCTATTCTACAATTCTGAGGAGATGGACTGAGAGAAACATGAGAGAGCTGAAGTAACACAAAGCTAGGAAACAAGGGGAACAGGAGGAAAATGCAGGTTGATGAGGGGCCAAGACTGGAAGCCGAGAGAAGGAGGGGAATGCAAAGAGCAGGAGACAGCTGTCTTGTTTTTGTGCACAGCAAAGGCAGTGATAGGATGGCTGCTCCCTGAGCTGAAAATGACAAGGAGAGTAAGCGAGAACCCTGCAAGCAGCATTCACAAACACTTGATCAATGGTGAGGTTTGGAGCAAGATCCAGTGAGCAGGCTGGGAGGATGCAGCTTGGAAGTAGCAATGGCAATCAGATGGCCAAGGAAAACTCCCGAATTCTGAAAGATCTTGTCTGGTTTAACCCTACTGAGGATCTCTGGTAGCTGCAGCAGCAGCTGATTTAGACTTTCTGGAGCAGGCAGTGTTGGCTGAGCATAACAATGACTGAAAGACCCAATTTCTTCCAGCACACAAAAAGGAAAGCTATTAGCATTAGGAAAACAGCTTTATCCTTCAACTGACCTCCCACTACAGAGCTGCTGTCCCAGAGTGCCACCAGCCTGCATGGCCTGGTTTCACATGGACTTAAACACTATGGTGGCCCTGGATCTGGAATCCTGGCATCTGTACTCACAGGAGCTAGGGAAGACACAAGGCTGAAGAGATTCCAAACTATAGACTGTCTTGTTTTCAAGACAGGACACTGCAAAATGTGCCTGGTGATTGGGAACACCTCTCACCCAGCACACAAGGGTCCACTAAGAACACCCTGGAAACAACAGGCACTGATGTTCCACAACTGTCCCTCATATCTTACTTAATTTCAGTTGTTTATATCACTCTCTTCTATAGTACCTGTGCCAGGTTCCTGAAAGACATGACTGCTGGAACAGGCACTGCAGCACCTGCCTTGGCCTAACCATTCCCCTCCTCTGCACTCTCATCTGGCCAAGTCCATGCTGAGACTCCTTAGTCAGCTCAGAGCTGATGCAATATCTAAGAGTTCGGTTCTGAGCTTACCTTGTTGGCTTTGCCCACAAACTTGAAGACAGGAACCTGGAAGTGCTTGGCAAGATGGTCCTTCGACGTGTACTGCTTCACGGAGTCATCCGAAACGCAGCTGAGGGAAGCAGAGGGATAGCTTTAATGGCTTTCCCAGCAATGGAAAAAGAGAGAGAAAAGACATTCCAGCCTACTTCACCAGAGAAAGGGAAGGAGGGCTTGGCTCTCTCAGCTCAGCTACCATCCCTGTTACTTCCTCTCTGGCCACAGGAGAGAATTGGGGAGCGATGGGGGAAAACAACAGCAATGCTAATAGCATCTCCAGACAAGGAACAGCTCAGCAGCACAGAGCTGGCAGGACATGGCCCAGTCCCCTCACACAAGGACTGCCAGAGCTGCAGGCAAGTTTGTCCTCATTTCACCTTCCTGTGCAACAGCCTGCAGTGTTATACACCATACAATGTGCTATGTGCTTTCTGTCTACACATATATATGCACATAAATTATGCTTAAAATGAAGAAGTCTGTACTCACATTACTAAATACCACAGATGATGAAAAACACAGAAAGCCACATTTACTTTGCTTTACATCATTTATATTTGTCTTCCTGCTGGACTTGGTCAAACAGCTCAAATTCACTACACTACAACTCATAATTTCAATTTCTTCATTACTAGCACTATGTGATCATACAAGAGGTCATGGAACTGCAAGAAAATAAGCTACTTTTATATAAAGGTACATTCCAGGTGCAGTGGATCTAGAAACTATTTGAGACTGTTTAGGGTTTGACAGAGATACAGCAAGACAAGAAGTTATGGTGACTTGATAATTCTGATTATTGCAAAGCCTGGGGCATCCTGAGAGCCCTAATGCTGCTGTTACATGCCATTGCAATGCATCTTATCCTTTCTAGCAGGTTAATTCCAGATATGTGGACTTGAAAGGATATTTTAAAGAAGGAAGAGTGGTGGTGTAAGAGACAAGAGGTACTGGTGTGACAGCTGAGTCCTACTCCTGCAGCAACCTCCAGCTCCCATCTTTAAACCAGAAACATGTGCAGCACTGTCAGCAACGCTGAGGTTTGACATGCTCAATTGTCAAACAGCAAATTCCACATCTATATGCAGCTCTGTCTTCACTGTAACCTGTTTGGAAATCTCTGTGCTGTTGGGCTGACAGCAGCTACTGCAATCCCTCCCAGCACTGCCCTTCTGCTCTGTACAAGAGAGCAGGGTATGTCCCTGGGAGCACTAGGCATCAGTCTGGTTCCCTGATACCACCAGGAATTTCTCCATTTCTCCACATCCAGAGGAGGTCACAGCCTGAAGGACTATCCCAGCACTTGTGTGGTTCACTTGCCTGAAGACAAACATAAAAACCAGCCCCAGTGAAATTAATAAATGACCATTGTGTATCTACGAAACTGACAGATTCCTCCCTCCTGAGGCCAAACACTAAGTTGTTTAGTATAAAATTGGTGTTAAAAGTGGCACACCTGAAGGCTTCTGGCTGTAATCAATGGCAGTTCAAGACTTTTCAGAGGTGACTGGCCAAGCTTTGGGGCCATGAAGTCCACTCAGAGGCAAGCCCTGACCTGTGAGCCTATAAACTGTGATGATTCTTGGACACTGGCTCAAACTGACTCCCAAATCCCAGGTTCTCCAAAGGGGCTTCAAATTGGTGGCAGGAAACCTACTGGCTTGAGGCTAGGGAGAGCGGAGATAGGAGAACCACAAGGAAGAACCAGGGACACATGGACAAAACCAGCTCAGAAACCTCCTGAGCCACAGGAACAAGTGCTTTTGCATTTTGTGTGGGGCCATACCATGTTCAACCCTCCCAGGAAGTCTCCATACCCTGCTTCCCACCTTGGAGAGATGAGAAAAGACAGGTATAGAAGGAAAATGGATGAGTCTGGTCAGGACACAAGGAAAATAACTCTGAGGTTCAGGGGCAGTGCCATGGGAGGTCTGCTCTGACCCTCTTATTTGGGGCTGCAAGGCAGAAAGGAAGGTCTTGACAATAAACCATCTGCCTCAGCCTAGAAAGCAAGAGCAGCCTGAGGCAGAACAAGCCTTGCAATGGAACCACCTTCACCACCTCCTGCACAGATAAATCACTGCTCCTGAGCACATCAGGCTGCCCTTGGTGATATGACCTTGCTCTGGATGGCCCAGAGAGCTTCAGTGTTTATCACTGGTGTCATCAGTCAATGCCTTTGGTTTCATTTTGCTTTCAGAAAGAGGAAGAAAAGACCAGAAGCAAGAGAGCTGCTTTGGGGCTAGCAGCAGTACAGGGTACTACAGACACAGTGGAGGGATTTGGGAAAACCTTGATTTCCAGTGTGGTCACATCAGCACAGGGAGAAGGGTGGAGTCCCACAGAGGGCAGCCCCCAACTCTTGCCAACTGGAGCAGGCAGGGAATTAACAGAGAAGAAAGAAGCAGAGAGAATTTCCCCATATATATAAGTCCAAAGTATATCCCCTCAAATTTAAACACTGTTTCCCTCTAGAACCTGCAGGTCTATCTGGACCTATGTAATCAAAATTATTTTAAAAATCCCATCTTTATTGCAATGGGTTTCTGGGGCTGGAAGGAAACTGGGCTAGTAGAGAACTGCTGAGAGCAGGGACAACTCAGCAGTGCACTCAGCTAATTTTACTTCAGAGTCGCTGCAAGCACAGAGTGACAACCCCAGTTAGCTCGACAGCACATCGTTAGTGAGCAGTTTGACCACAGCACTGGGGGACACTGGCGCTGCAGTGAGGCTGGAGAGCAGAGAGGCTGGCTGAGGCTCCAGCCCACTTTTCCCTTCGGTGAAGTTTTAATGCCCTCTGCAGGTACCAAGGGGCTGCTGGTGCCGTAAATCCTCCAGCTTGTGCTGGGGTGAATTCATGGCATGACACTTTCTGCCTTCTCTACCTGACTCAGGCTTTGGCTGCTGTTTGAATCCCATGATTTGCACTCATGGGGAGAAATGAATGTGTGTTTGGAGCCTTGACTCTCTGAAGGGTCCACAGGAATAGCTGAGCCAGGGAGTCGATAAAATCAATCCTTCCATTACACATCTGCTCATAAACCCAGAAGTGTCAGGCATAGGAGTGCAGCACAGGATGGCGGGAGAGCAGGTTAATGCTGAATCCTTTGGCAGAATGAAATGAAAATAGTATTTTTGGGTACTTTACATTGCAGGAACCTTTAGCTACAAGACAACACGACGGGGGTTGGAACTAAATATCATCAAGGCCACTCCCAACACCAATCATCTATGATTCTAAGATTCTCTGAGTTGCCATCACCATCTGTAACTGTGGATGGTTTAGCCTTGGCAGCTGAGGAAATAACTGTTGCCCTCATTAGATGGTCTGGCAGGCAACATACAGGACTTACACACACACAGTCCCTTGACTGTCAGACTACAAGACTTGGGTATGTCTTAGCTATTCCTCTGGCTGGATTTTCCTCCCAAGAGGACAGCAGACTGGCTCCCAGCTGTGACACTTCCAGTGTTGTCTGGTTAAGCTGTTGGATGGAAACACCCCACAGCACTGGTGTAACACGGCACAGCACCCAAAGTGGTGTCTGAAAACAGGGATCATCTTAGGAGCCACAGCTGAGCCCCAAACCTCTGATGTAAAACCCTTTACAGTGAACCCACAAACCCATACCGAATTGTTTTTAGCATATCCTGTAAAGACCACTAGTCCCAAACAACTCAGAAAATTACAGCCAAACTGAAGGAGCCTAAGTTTAGTGTACTGACTGGCATCAGAGAAAGCTCCTGGAGCTTCAACCAGGACTAGACATGGAGTCTTCTGGCTCAGGCTGTAACAAGGCCATTATGGGAAAATTAAGCAACTTGCTCCAGTTGCTGCAGCAGCTGCCTGGCAGCAGCACATGGCCATCAAGGGTTCTGCCCATTGGTTTGGCACTCTGTGGGCTGGCAGAGAGAGGATATCAGGAAAGATAATATCTTCTACAAGAGCCAACTCAATTATCCACAAAGCTAGTTACAGGGAAGTATGTCCTGTAAAGGCTGCACTCAGAGGAACCTCTTTCCATGCCTCCCACTGTTTCTCCCAATTACTGTTGATGGGACAGGTGGTTTCAGCTTGATGGCTGCTGGTGTTTGCTAGCAGCGCAGCAGATAAGCTGCCGCAGGGAAGGGATAGTATCTCCTACATCACAGAGTCAACACAAGTCAGCCCCTCTGCCAATTCTCATCTAATAGCCAGTAAGAGAGGTAACAGTGGACTCACCCATCTTGGATCAGGTAGTACTTGAGGATCTCATCGATCTTTGAGGTGGGAGTGGCAAAGCAGCTCTCCACCAGTGTCTCCAGCCCACTGACATGTACCAAGGGCTCAATGCCAAAGTACAGTGAGTCCCGGAGCTTGAGGGTGGGAAGGGCATCCTTGTAGGGTTCATCAAAGTCTTTGTCTTTGAAGATCTCCAGGGTGAAGGGGAAGATGCCCTGGTTGCGGCTCATGATTTCCAGGGGAGAGTTCTTGAGGTTGGGCACATATCCCTCAGAGATGGTGTAGCGACGCGGGAACTCGCAGGTCACTGGGATCAGCAGCTTGCTGGTGCGGACAATGATGTCCCCGTTGCTCCCTGGGGTCTGCTTGGGCAAGCCTGTCACCAGGTTGGTGGCAATGATCTTGTCATTTATTACCTGCAGCAGAGTAAGGCGTTTAAGGGAAAGGGTTGATCACTGACAAAGAGCTCTCTGAGTTCCCCTTGTTAGGACACTCAAATGAAATAGCCATGAAGGCACAGCTTGGAATTTATATGCTGTGACCAGAATGATTGTTCATCCTCACCTACCAACATCACCAGTTTGCTGTCAACTGCAAGGCACTGCCCTCCTGCACAAACCACAGGGATTTGCTTCCAGTGCTACCCAATTGCTAAGATGAGCTCTCTGGTTCCTCACAGTTGCCAGTGTAACTTTATAGACTGCCCAGGGTGGTAGTGGAGTCACCATCCCTGGAAGTGTTTAAGAGACATCTGGATCTGGTGCTGAAGGATATGGTTTAGGGGTTCCAGCAGTGACAGGTTAAGGGTTGGACTCAATGATCTTAGAGGTCTCCTCCAACCTTGATGATTCTATGATTCTTTGAAACATTATCAGGAGACCAGAATCTGTCTCAGTAGGAGGGTGAAGAGTGACTTGTGCCCTCTGCACTGGAATGAGGGTGAAGCTGCCTCTGTGAGGACTAGGGGAGCAGAAAGTAGCACCCATGCTGAGACACACCACTGGAGGAGCGATGAAACAAGCTCTCTTACTTTGGGATGCCACTCCAGGTCTACTCTGCAGCAACACAGGAAACTGCTCTGACAGTAGAGCTAAATCAACTCTACGCCTCAAGTAAGCCATAGTCAAGACCCCAAGCCCCAGAGATGCCAAGAGACAGGACAGCAATAGCCATACATACATCTACAACAGTGCCACAGGACTTCAGGGAGAAATGGATGTTGACATGAGTGCCATTGGATACACCTTTGCACGAAGTGTTGATGAGGGAAAGGTCCAGACCTCCAACCAGGTCCTTTGGGATGTTCACCTCAATAGAGCTGGACTTGCACAGCACTGGGACTGCAAGAGAAGAGCCCAGAATCACAGCCTGCACTACAAACCCACCAGAGAGTTGGGGAAGGGTTACACCAATTATTACTGGGAAAAAAAGGGGCAATCATATGCAGCATTTATGATTATTACCTTACCACAGTAACCTAACTGCCTATGTTGCTTTCCTGCCTGCACAAAACAAACCTGAGCAACCACTGCTCCAGACTCTCCAGCCACAGCTATGCCCCGGGAGAAAATGAAGACAACCATTGCACTTGCAGCAGAAACTTAGCTGTGCAGGATTTCCAGCTTCACTTATTACTCCGCACAGGTTTGATTGATATCTCTTGCATTGCTAAGTCCTGGGAAGAGCCTTTGCCAGATATGGATATCAAATTCACAACACCCCAGGCAAAGCCTTTTTTAAGCCCCTTAATCAGATTTTACATCAAACCCAGAACACGTCCAAACAAGGCAGAGTAATTCCACAAGATACTGAGCTAGATGGAAGCATCTCAAAATGCCCTAATAATATTTTTATAAGCAATAACCTCAGCTCTAACAAACAAACCCAATTAGCTCACTCACTCCACTTCCTTCCAACCTTTGAATTTTAATAGAGATCTCCAAGTGAATGTTTTGAAATGAAAATATCATTACATAAGAAGCAGAAGAAAACACAGAGCTTGGACTAAAGGAAACAGGAAAGAAGAGAGAATAATTGTCAATAAAAAGTAATTGTTATATATATATATATATTCCTTGGGGGTATACATCTATTCAGTCAGAGATAGGACAAGTTACTGGTGCATATATTGTGGTCTCCTAGCCAGAAAAACAAACTCCTTGCAGAATTCCTTTGGCTACATTTTAAAATCCCATGACAAAATGTTTTGCAAGTTGCTCAAACTTTTTGCCCAAATTAACAACAGCCCCAGTCCTTGACATTTCTATGCCTTCCCTTAATTTCAATCATTAATGACGTCATTTAGGATTCTGGATCTTGGATACAAGGCATACTGCTAAAACATGCCTCTTAACCCCCTTCAAAGATCCCTCTGTCCCAGCTAAGGTATTTGTAAGAGCCTCTGTGTACTTGCAGGGAGGATTTCTTACTAAAAGTTGATCTTTTCAAGGTGATAGGCTAAAACGTATGCAGAGTGCCCAAAGCAATAGGTTCTCATAATGACATTGCTGGGTTAGAACAGAAACTCAAAGAGCTAAGAATTACCTTCATTTTCCCTCCATCAGCAGCAGAAGGAAAGTGGGAATAACTGAGCATGGCAAATGGCAAAGCTCAGGAGGAGAAAAAGGCACTTGGAGAACACAGTGCAATACAGGCAGAGAGGAACATCCTTTGGAGGACTGATTGGCTCAATCTGGATTTAAAGACTCATTTGACAAATAAGAAAATGTGATGCTTTCATTAAGATCTAATTCAGGGCAAGACACTTTGGATCCTAACTGCAATTCTCTGAAGTTCAGGACCAATTTGGTTCAAGCTCTCTCTGTTTCTACAAGTCTTTAAGTGGCACAGAGAGGAAGAAGAAAGACATCACCAATTTACCCCATGCTCTAGTGCTGCAGGAGCTTCCTGTCTGCTCTCCACCACCTGGGCACAGGAACAATGGAAGGAAACCAATGGATTCCAGCCAACTCATGGCTGTTTGGGAAAATGCTCTGGGAAATTCCTCACAGTAACCAGCTCAGAGGAACTGATAACGGAATTCAGATCACCCCAGACATTTGCACAGAGAAGAGTGATCAATAGTGAGGACAGTATTTTGGTTCCACCAATGCAGAGATGATGCATCAGCAGGATTTGGCCCTGGGCAGGCCTGGTTCTCCAAGGAGCTGAAAGGGAGATGGCAAGGTAGTCATAGCTATGTGCAGGTATGTTATTCCAGGGCAAGCAATCAGGTCCTGCCTGCCAGGACTGAGATGCCCAGCAGAAATGAGTGATCCTGATGCCAACCCACTATTCACAACCTCCTGCATCTGTTCAGAGAGCTGCACTCTCCTGTCCTGCTGTCACCATCCACCTCTTGCTCCTGACAGCCTCACCCAGTCTGTGCCAGTCAAACATTTCAGCTGTTCACACCACAGAGCACTTGTGAGCACTGGGAAAGACTCCTCATTAGCGCTTTAAACTCTGCTTTGCACCAGTGCCTGAGTACGTGACCCTGCTAGGAAGCTCCTGTGGGGAGTCCAACGCTCATTTTGGTGCCTGCTGTTGTTGACACCATGTGCCAGCCTCTGCCACCTCCTTTGGCCTTTCCAAGTGCAGCTGCTAGGAGCAGAGGTTATCTCTTTGCACAGACTGCTCAGTGGTGCTGAGTCTTGACCCACTGCTGCACACATAACACTGTTGTACAGTGCTTACCTGCACAAACAGCTTGGGCATGGGAGAGGAGAGGAAAAGCATCTCACCCATACACCTCAGAAAGAGGTGAGGTACTAGGATGGGCTGCAAAATTCCAATTGGCTGGTATCTTTGTGGAAAAACTGCAGCCAAGCCTGTGATTTCTGTGGCAGATCATTGATGTATGTTCTGAATGTGGAGACAGTGCAGGGGAGGGTGGCCAGGCTGCAGAGCCAATTGCTTCAGGCAACTGTGCCTGCCCTGCACTGTTAATTGAACCACTATAAACCTGATTAGATGTCAGAAAAAAATTGTGCGGTACAGCCCCTACTCAGAACTGCATACCACAGCGTGGGGACATAAATCCATGAAATGCAGAAGAACAAGTGGTTTTGCTTTCTGAGCTGAGCAGCCTCAGCCCCAGCCTGGCAGTGCTGCTGCTCTCATTAGAGCCTCAGGAGCAGGAGGAACACTACCTGGGAAACGCACAGCTTCTAACCCTGCTGGGGGTGCCTCAGGGCTGAATAACATTGCTCTTTCCTGGCCTGTAGCCATCAATCAGAGTTTCAATCAGTGAGTGTAATCACAGCTCATGGAACTCCCCTCCTCCTTCTCCTCCCCACCTGGCTCTGCTTGGAGCAGTAAGCACTGCTGAATCCCAAGTGTGCAGTGTTCACCCCTGGGAGCTCTGCATATCTAAAGAGCTTAAAAAGCAGGAATTCCATCAAGCAGAACCATTCCAACTCCCTCTCTGAGGCATATTTGCTCTGCTGACCACCACAAAGCCTGGATCTGTCTCTCCAACTGATGTCTGGGCACTCTGTGACACATCAGACTGCAAGAGATTCTCTGAGCACACCAGACTCCTGGTAGCCTGGATGTATTTGCAAAGGAAATCTCAACCCAAACCAGGAAACTTGGTTTGGGAGGTGATTCTCCCCCTCTACTCTGCTCTGGTGAGGCCCCACCTGCAGTACTGCACGCAGTTCTGATGTCCCAACATCAGGATGACATGGAACTGTTGGAGCAAGGCCAGAGGAGGCCACAAAGCTGATCAGAGGACTGGACCTTCCCTACAAGGCCAGGCTGAGAGAGTTGGGGCTGTTCAGCCTGGAGACCTCAGAACAGCTTGCCAGGATCTGAACGGGCTCCAGGGAAGCTGCAGAAGGACTCTTGGTTAGGAACTGCAGTGACAGGACAAGGAGCAACGGAGAGAAATTGAAAGGGGGAAATTTAGATGAGACCTTAGGAAGAGGTTTTTGATGTGAGGGTGGTGAGACACTGGCACAGGTTGCCCAGGGAGGCTGTGGCTGCCCCAACCCTGGCAGTGTTCAAAGCCATGTTGGCTATAGCCGTGAGCAACCTGTTCTGGTGGGAGGTGTCCCTGCCCAGGGCAGGGCATTGGGACTGGATGATCTCTAAGGTCCATTCCAACCCCTTAACATACTACAAAACTATGCAACTTGTTTATTCCATGTACATGCCATAGGTGTGAGTGAGTCAGCACAAAGGACTCCCTGTGTGAGGCTCAGATGGAAGGTTTTCCAAGGATAATGCCACCCCTTGCCTCTATGCAGCAGAAGCAACAGTCAGTTTTCAGATGCTATCCCAGGCACTTTTCCAAGGGACAGCAGGAACAGCTAGTATCAAAGCTAATGCCCTGCTTCAGGACAGGAATGCTTACTGGAATGGCTAGTGACATGGTTGGAAAAAACATGCTGCTCTCTCTTTAAACTCATTCTTGGAAGGGACTGAACCACTTCAGTTGAATTAAAGTCTGAAGCACGTAAAATGTCAGTTCTAAAGCAGACATCTGTCAGAGGAACAAACAGCTGAAGCAGAGCTGTATAATGGGAGATGTTAAGCAATCTGAATTGGAAGTGAACACTGCCAAAACTGCCTGTGATGCAAGATGCACCCAGCTGGGCCCTGTGGCTGTTCTCCTGCCTGGTTATAAGAGCAATGTCTTCAGGCTCTCAGTTTTGGATGATCTGTCATTAATGACAAAGCTCCATCAACCAAGCTGGAAAGGGCACACTAAGAGAAGATGACAACAACACTCAGAAAAGTTCCTTCAAACATACTTTTGGGGGACAGAGGCTGCCAGGGAGATTTTGCTGACCTACCTTGGCAAGTGTGGTTGTCTTCTGATAGAACCAGTCCCCTGGGACATTCACACTGGTATGTGTCTTCCACTTCAATGCAGGTATGGCTGCAGCCTCCGTTGTTGTTGTGACAGCCTTCAATTTCTGGGAAAGAAGGGAAAGAAAGGAAAGAAAGGAAATTTAGCACACTCTGCTCCTCAGGATGTTGTGTGGCAGCTATACAGGCTCCACACTCCTGACTAACAAACAGTATGACCAACACTCCTGAAGGCAAGAGCACAGTGAGTGCTCACTGCCAAGAAAATGAGGTGGAAATCCATTTTTAATTGTACAATTTCCTGTGTTTCTCATTTCACCTTGAGGTTAACTAGGAAATCTGTGACAAAGCTTATCAAATTAAATCCCACGCTGTAATTGGCATACTGAATAGGCAATCTGCATCTTGATCCTTTTAGAATCATGGAATGGTTTCAGTCGGAGGGACCTTAAAGCTCATTCAGTTCCAACCCCTGCCATGGGCAGGGACACCTTCCACCAGACCAGGTTGCTCCAAGCCCCATCCAACCTGGCCTGGAACACTTCCAGGGATGGAGCAGCCACAGCTTCTCTGGACAATCTGTGCCAGTGCCTCACCAGTCTCGCAGAGAGGAATTTCTTCCTAATATCTAACCCTGCTCTCTGTCAGTTTAAAACCACTCCCCCTTGTCCTGTCACTCCAGGCCCTTGTGCAGCCTCTCCTGAGACATCCTCTCAAACTAAGCGCTTATGTTGTTTCTTACTTCAAAAAGGTGGGAGGAAAATCCTCTTAAACTTACAGTGAAAGCCCTGAGCCTTGCAGGGAGCTGCCTCAGTGATGACAACCCCACAGGTAGCCAAGCTCCCTCTCCCAGCAGGGAAGAGCAGTGGCTCATTCCCTGTGGGTTTCCCAGCTGTGAGGGAGGTGGGTGTACCAGATTCCTAGGCTGAGGATGAAACTCTGCTCAGATGACTTATTTTAGCTGGAATTTTGCTAGTTTGTGAGGTTTAGGCTTAGAGACTTTGGCCACCCTGAGCTGTGTTATCACAGGGACAGGAGGAGGATGCAAGTTCATGGTGTAAGGCTGATTCCCTTCCTCATTTCCCCCACTGTGAAGTGCAGAGGGGAGAGGGCAGCACAGATAATTGGAGGATTTCTCTAGGCTTTCCTTATGTCTTTTCTATTCAGGTGAGGCAACTCTCTGAGGAGCTGAGTTTTCCTGCAAAACATATTCCTAACCACTGCAGCTGCAAAAAGAGTCCGAAAAGGCATACACATACACACTGAAGATCTGAAAATCCAAGGAAAGTAAGGCCATTTCCACTCCTGTTATAAACGAAATAACAGAGGATTGTGATTTTTCTAGAAAACAACCTTCACTGCTTGATTTTGTTAACCATTTGGGATGAGTTTGCTAGATGAGTACTACTGTTCTCAGTACAACAATAGCACATATAAGATAAATAAATCATAAATACAAACTATTTCTCCCCTAGCCTGCCATCAGAACTGTGTGGTTCCCACTGAAACGTAAAGAAAAGAATGGAAACCCCATACTCAATCCTATACAATACATGGAAAACAACAGCCTGATCACTCTCTATGAGTCAAAGTAATGGGCAAAGCAGAATAATGGAAATTCTGAGATACTCTTAACCCTACTCAGCCTCGGCAGCTCTTGTAATCAAGCTAAATCTCTTGCATTAGTTCTTTTTAGCAACAGCTGTGAGGTGGCTCACAAGTAAATCATGTCCTCTAACAGCTCACCGAGCTTTAGAAATAAAACTCACTAACAAGCCTGTAAACATCCCCAGCAGCAGTGAGTGAAACTCCTGAGAAGCTCCATCCTTCCTGCAGACAGGCAAATTAACTTGTATATCAAAGGCCCTAAAAGCCAACTTTGGGAACAGCAGAAACATGTAAGTTTTCCAACAGCCTATTCCAGCCCTGTCAGGACAGTGCAGTGCTCAGGGATAAGAATTGCACAGCTGCTTTAGGTGACACCCAGCTCAGCGCTGAATGTGGAAGATACGAAGCCCACAGAACACTTTTGGCCCCACACAACTCAGCAAGTACTTAAGGAGCACTGCACAGCAGCATTTCCCAGGAAAGTGTCACTGGCTGGATGAGTGATGTTTCACATAGGTGAGATGAAATGTGCTTTGGTATCAAAGAGGGGGAAAACAGGAACTAAACCTGGAGCCTGGAGTAATCTGTCAGTGAATCTCATCTTTCCCCTTCTTAGGGTGAACTCCAGCCCAAAAATACACTAGCAATCCCTCCCTCCCTGCACCACAGATGTTTGCCACACAGCAGCTTGTGGAAGGCTACATGCAGGCTGCAGATGTACTCAGCTCTGGTAATTGGGTAGCTGCAAAGTGAGGCACATCTGTAGCTGTTTTTCTTGTCTGATGCCCCACAGTCTCTGTGAACACAGAGCAGCTTTGCCTGTGAGGGGGCACAGTGCTTTTCACAGCTCACCACTGAAAACATCAGTTTTTGCTGGGTTTGCCTGTTTCTGCTCAAAGGTGTTTGTACCTTGTTAGTGATAACAGATCAAAAGTACAACTTGGTCTGTAAGCCCCTGCTAAGCCACCAGTCTAAATTCATCAAGAGTTTCTCACCTGGCTGTGCCACCACAGGGAAGGAACTGGAGCCCACAGCTAATTCCTCACACACAAACAGCCACAATGCAGCCCTAATCTCAAATCTAGCTGCTGTTCACAGCCTGGCACCCCCTCTCCTTAATCTCTGCTCTGGGAGGCTAAAGTCATCCTCATGCTCTAGTCTAATGTCATGACATTACCCATAGCTAATGCTAGCTGCCAAACCTAATGCTAAATCTGCACCTGAACAGCTACCACACAGATCTCCAGAGCCAAATCCCAGTGACTCCAGCAATATCTAGTTCTGCCTAAACAACCAATCTTCTAGATGCACTGCTGCCTTTCCCCCACAGAGATAAACAGAAGCAAATCCTAACAGCAATGAACAAGGCAGTGAGAGCAACAAGGAGACTTCTCTCTGCTTGCTTAGGATATTTCAGTAACAACGCCACTGGCAAGCACAGAGGTGATATGAGTGACATTTAATCCCAGCTGGGGGAGCCAAGGGAGAAGCAGTGCTGGAAGGGAATGATGGATGTCATTTCCAGCAGGCTGTGGGAGCTGCAGCCTCACCTTCACAGGTTTTGCCGTCACTGCCCAGCGTGCGCCCGACCCCACACTCACAGCGGTACGAGTTCTTCAGGTTCACACAGAACTCACTGCAGCCTCCATTGTTCTGCTCACACTCATTCTCATCTGCAAGAAACAAACCACTGTCAGAACATGCCCCAGAGATCACACAGCTGGCACATGGGAGCACTGGTCACACTGGCTTTGTTGGCCTCCTGAACCAGATCAGGCAACAGAGATCATACAGTCATCAAATATCCTGAACTGGAAGGGGCCCACAAGGATCATCAAGTTCAACTCCTGACACTGCACAGGACACCCCAACAATCCCACCATGTGTCTGAGAGCACTGTTCAAATACTCCTTGAGCTCTGGAATGTAATGAGCAATCCCACTAACAGTAGCTTTTTATCTCTTGGCAAAGCTCTGAAAACTCTTCCTAATTCTGTTCTAAAATTCCTCTTTGAAAGGCACTTTGTTCTCTGAGATTCTTCTTCTCCAACCTGATTTAATATGTGTGCGCAAAAAGTGAAGCAAATTGACAGGAAGGAACAGACACTGCTATTGCTGAGCCATAACACTAACCATTTCTCCTTGGCAGGCCACAACACTGAGGTTACCAATCAAGGTTCACACAGGGCTCCACCAAAACAGCTTAGAAATTGGCATTTATTAGGTGTCAGAAGCTTAAAAATAACAATAAAGCAAAACAGCATTTTTTTTTTTGACAGGTAGGCGGGTCAGACATGAGCTCTCAGTGGTCCCACTCAAGTCTGCAGCTGGTGGTGGTGTCTCCTTCCACAAGCAACGTGCACTGAGTATTTTTAGCCAAAGAACTGGCTGGTACCCTGCTTTGGGAGGCAGAAGCATGTCCAGGAGACACACGCATAGACTGCTTTTCACACATGTGACAGGCTCCACACTTTCCCCTCTAAAAATAAAACTAGAGCTGCTTAAAAACAGAGGGTGAAGAGGGAAATGGCTACTGGCAAAGGCACAGAGATGCTGTTAGGAGGGCCTAGAGCTTGGCTTGGTCAAGGGCTGTACCCAGCAATTCCTCCTGCCAGTTCTTCAACTTCTATAGCACACACAGATCTGTCCCTGCTGTTCCACACCAGTGACAACCAGCACTCCTGGGACACAGGCTGCTTGTCTGGAGACTGGATTGGGAGAGCTCTGAGCTCATTTTAACCACGGCATAGTAAAACATGGATCCAGGCACTCAAGAGGCCAAGGCAATGCACCGAGTTGGTGGATGCGTGACAGGAAGTCTAAGACCTTACCTAACCCCTAAGTTAGTTTGCAAATGAAAATGTAACTTAGGATCAGCAGTTCTGCTCTGGGATTCAAAGCATGTGATGTACTGAGAAGTCAGCCCAGCATGGGGAGGCTCACTGAGCTGCTTAGCATGCACAGAATGGTTTGGGTTGGAAAGGTCCTGAAAGCTCATCTATTCCAACCTCTGCCACAGGCAGGGACACTTTCCACTAGCCCAGGTTGCTCCAAGCCCCATCCAGCCTGGCCTGGAACACTTCCAGAGATGGGGCAGCCATAAATGCATTACTGCAGCATCTTCAGTCCCCCTGGTAGTGGGAACTGGGGAAGGAAGCACATTGTTCCTTTAGGAAAGGCTAACAGAGCTATGTTTGGTTTCTCTGGAAGGCTGGCATGGTTCTCTCAGAGAGGTGATTGCACAATTACTCAGCACAACAGAAAGTCATTAGAAAGACGAGTGAGCCACACAAGAGAGGCTGCAAGTAGGTGAACCAGTGTGATCATTACAACTGAGGTGTTGTGCCATGTGGGAATCATGAGGAGAAGCAGCAGTGCAGAAATCCTGCCTGGCGTGGCCGTGGGAGGGATGAAGGCGGCTGCAGCACACACAGACAGGCTCAGGACTCCTGTGTGCTCCCTCCTGCAGGAAATACCTTCCTGTGAGTCTGCCACACATTTATTGAGTGCTGGTGCTTGTCAAGGGCACTCCTGTGACTGGAAGCCTTGCAGAGAAGCAGCCAATAAATGCTTTTAATTATCTGAGAGAGCAAAGTCAGCCACTTGGCTGCAGAGATGTGGAGCTGCTGAAGCAAAACTCTTCCACAGAATCAGTGTGAGCAAGAGTGACTGCAGCAGGGCCAGACTGAAATCACTGCGGCCCCTGCCCTGATGCCCAGAAACAGGAGGGGTGTGAAGAAAGAACCCACCCACGCCTGCTTTGGCAGCTGCAGTCTGTGTGGAAGGGACTGATCTGCCTCACAGCCTCCTGGACCAACTCTGCTTTCAGCTTCACCACCAAATCAAGCCAAAGCCAAAGATGAGATCCCACCTCTCCCAAACTAGCACCCCCCTTCCTCCCTCTGCCTTAACTCTTTCTGTCCATCACTGTCGCCCTGCAGCTCCCCAACAGCCACCCTTTCCCAGCCCCTTGCTCTGCCCCACAGACCATCTTCTTCCTGACCTTACAGTGCAGGTGTTCTCCTCCCAGCAGTACAGGCACAACCACAGATATCCTCCCTCAGAGGTTCCTGGGGACTGCCTTGCAATCCCCAAAGCCCACATTCCCCACTCTGTTCTCACTTGGGGCCCTCCACCTCCCTCCTGACCATGCTAGTCTGTGCCACCAAGTGCCAGCCCCTTGGATACCCTCTTGTCATGCTAAAACCACTGCAGCTGTGCTGGGACCTACAGTCCTTTGGCTCTCCTCAAGTCCCAGGCCCTGGACAAGGCCCCACAAGGGCAGAAAGTATGGTGGAGCTTAGTGTGCAGCCCTACACTAGCCAGCGATACTTTTTTTGGAGGAGAGAGACGTTTAACAGAGCATGTGAGAGGAAGTCTCTAATGACAGACTGCACAGCATTTCCTGGATACCACAGTGATACTGTACCATGATCTTGCAAAGAGACTCTGCTACTGACAGTGCAGCTGCTGCCTTCAGCTGCTACTGAACCATGAGCAAATCTAGTCTCTGCACACACAGAGCTCCAGAGGCACCAGAATGCATTCAGTCATGGGATGTCATCTCTTGAAACCATTCACAGGATCAAAGACCTGTTCTAGGCAGCAAGGGGGGAAAACTCCTCTCAGAATGCTTCATTTTTCGCACTGTTTTGCAAGGCAATGGATTGAGACACAAGAAACAAACCCAAGGGAGAGAAATCAGTAGCTCTGCACACACAGAGCTCCAGAGGCACCAGAATGCATTCAGTCATGGGATGTCATCTCTTGAAACCATTCACAGGATCAAAGACCTGTTCTAGGCAGCAAGGGGGGAAAACTCCTCTCAGAATGCTTCATTTTTCGCACTGTTTTGCAAGGCAATGGATTGAGACACAAGAAACAAACCCAAGGGAGAGAAATCAGTAGCGGGCACAGGTTATTTCCACCCTTACCAAGGCATGTCTGTCCATCAGGTCCAAGTGTCGTCCCTGGGGAACATGTGCAGTCACTGGTGTCCAGGCAGGAGTCCTGGCAATCCACCACATCACAGATGTCATAGAAATCTAGGGCATGACAAGAACATTGTCAGCACAAACTGCTGAGCATGCAGCAAAATACCGTCTGTGTCCTGTCAGCGTCACACCCTGTGCCTGGTCCATCAGGTACAGAGTGGCCCACGTTGGGAGAGCTGAGCTGCTGAAGCTGCTGAGAAACAATCTAGTTTAATTACTGTAAGTCAGAGATGCAAATTTTGACTTTGGTAGCATGCCAAGACAAACCACAGGGCCCACAGAGAGCGTTAAGTCATTGCAGCCAGGGCAGCTATGGAAAATTTCCACTAGCAGAACAGAGGGGGTGAAATTGCCTCATCCATCCCACGTGGACAGGCCACCATCTGCCCTGCATCACCTGACACACTGCTGGTGACAAAGCCAGCAGCCAGGCACCACCTCTTGCAGGTGTATGGATGCTCACCACCTCTCATGCTTCCTGGGGATGAGGGAGGTACAGAGAAGAGACCTCAGTGGTTACTTAGAATCATAGAGTCATCAAGCATGGAGAAGAGAAGGTTATGTGGAGACCTCAGAGCAACCTGTCAGTATCTGAAGAGGCTCTAGGAAAGCCGTAGAGGGACTTGGTGTTAGGAACTGCAGTGACAGGACAAGGAGCAACGGAGAGAAATTGAAAGAGGGAAATGTAGATCAGATGCTAGGAAGTTTTTTTCTGTGAGGGTGGTGAGACACTTGCACAGGTTGCCCAGGGAGGCTGTCGCTGTGGCAGTGTTCAAAGCCATGTTGGCTATAGCCTTGAGCAACCTGTTCTGGTGGGAGGTGTCCCTGCCCAGGGCAGGGGGTTGGGACCAGATCATCTCTAAGGTCCATTCCAACCCCTTAACATACTATGATACCACAAAGTCCAACCTGTCACTGCTGGAACCCCTAAGCCCTAAATCACATCTTCCAGCACCAGATCCAGATGCCTCTGAAACACCTCCAGGGATGGTGACTCCACTACCCCCCTGGGCAATATTCCAGTGCCTGAACACCCTCACAGGGAAAACATTTCTCCTAACTTCTTCCCTGGCTCTTCCCTGTCTCAGCTCAAGGCCATTCCCTCTAGTCCTCTCCCTGCAGCCATGGCAGGACAGACCATCCCCCACCTCTCTCCAAGCCCTGTCAGGGAGTTGCAGAGAGCCATGAGGTCACCCCTGAGCCTCTTCCCCAGGCTAACCAACCCCAGTTCCCCCAGCCTCTCTTGCACTACACATGCTGTACTCACGGCCGCAGTAGGCGTGGAAGCAGACACTGGGCCGGGTGAGGTGGTACACGTAGTACCCTCCGGGGCAGGCCTTGACATGGATGGGGGGGTTCCAGCTGAAGCTGGCCCAGGCCTGGCGCGGGACGATGCCGTCGGCTGGGCGAGGGTGGCTGCCGTTGAGCCAGATGGGTGCGTGGGTGCCACAGTGGTTCTCGGGGATGCAGAAGGTGGGCATGGCGTCCCCGGCCATGCCAGTGAAGCGGTACCACTCCCCACCCATGTGGCTGTCACACGTGGGCTGCCCGTGGGAGCCGTTGATCTGGTGATCTGTGTTGCGCCACGGCTCATTCAGGCTGATGTAGGCAGAGCAGGGGTCCAGGGCTGCAACATGCCGTGAAACACAAGAGGGAACAACTGGTAGATATCAAATCAAGTTGTTGAGAGATGACTGCAAGGAATGCAAAATAGTGTCTGCTTCCACCCCTGACTTAACAGAATCATTGTGATGGATAGAGATCCCCAGGGAGAAACAGCAATTCCAGCTGATTGTCTCATGGAAAATTCTGACAGCTCCTAGTTTACCTGTTAGAATCATCAAGGGTGGAGGAGACCTCTAAGATCATCAAATCCAGCCCTTAACCTGCCACAACCCCTAAACCATATCCTCCAGCGTCAGATCCAGGAGTCTCTTAAACAGTGCCAGGGATGGTGACTCCACTACCTCCCTGGACCATCTACTCCAAGACCTTTAACAGAGCTATTACAACATTATGTAACAGTGTGACTTGTGTTTAGCTGACAGGGCAAAAAGATATAAGCAAATCCAAGGTCCAGGTGGTGATTTTGATATAGGAAATACAACCTAGGCGCACTTGATCTAGCTTAGGAGGGCCACAAAGCTGATCAGAGGATTGGACCTTCCCTACAAGGACAGGCTGAGGGAGTTGGGGCTGTTCAGCCTAGAGACGAGAAGGTTGTGTGGAGACCTCAGAACAACTTGACAGGAGCTGAAGGGGCTCCAGGGAAGCTACAGAGGGACTCTGGGTTAGGAACTGCAGTGACAGGACAAGGGGCAATGGGGAGAAATCAAAGAGTTGCTATACCTTTTTATTTATTATCTTAAACTTTGCAGGCTATGAAGGTCTAAATGATGACCTGGGGAGGAAAACTTTCAACTCTTTACACAGCTGTGCTCCTTGCAAGCCTGCAACGCCCCGTAATCTGCACAGAGCAGCTGTCTGTGACTGAAGTGCTTGTGAGGCCAAGACATGAACATATGGACTCCCGGTAAGTGCATGTCTGTTCACGCACTGCTCAAGGACTGTGTCCCTCTTCAGAGGCCTTTGCAAACCTTCTGCAAACAATTAAAACCTAAGAGTACCATAGGGAGAACAGAAATGAAGAATTTAAGTGTCCATTACATTTCCAGCCTTCTCCTAATTAACCCTGATTTGGCAGCTTCCCACTGAAAGTCCAGAGGTTCCATTCTCCCTCCCATTTAATACCTGATTAAGCACTACTTACCCATGTCAAACTACTCCCTATTAAGCAAAACGAATGCTCATACTGCCCTGAGTAAGGAAAATTCATTCCAGTTTCCTAAAATTAGGCTAATAAAGCCAATCATTCTGATTAAATGCATCTCAGGCTGGAATAGCCTCTACTTTGCACAGCACATTGCTTTTTAAGTTCCAAAATTGCCCTGTTTAGTTAACAATAGGGTGATGCAATTTGGGTGGGGGGAGGACATTATACTCTTTCTGTTAAAATGTTCTGGACACAAACCTTCTTGGTTCATCATTTTAATTTGCTTCACTGACTTCAAAGTGGGAATTACAAGTGTTTCAGAGAATGGACTTCAGGTCACCCTAATTTAGCTGCATCATCTGTAAGCACTGTCCCTCAGACACGCTGTCTTGTACAAGGATCTCACAGATACATCTCTTGACAAGCCTCCTCACACTTTCCTCAGCCACAATGTTTTGTTTGGCCTCAAATCCAGCACAGAAGAGGCAGAAGCAGCTGCCATACTCATAGTGCTGCAGAGCAGCACACTGGCACAGGGAGCATGGATCTAGGTTAGGAAGGGAATCTCTAGTGCCACAAGTCAAAGATATTCAGAGGAGCTGATTCATTGCCACCATGACCAGCAGAGAGGGGGATGCAGCAGGGAATGTGATGAGAGTCACCAGGCAATCCCTCCTGAGCTCTCTCCATTTCCCCTGCCTCTTTGTGCCTGCCCTTACCCACAGCAGTGCTGCAAATCCCATCGTCCAAAAGCTAGCTTGAATTCTTCCACAAGGAAGAGATGGGTCCTGAACAGAGCTTCCCAAGGGCTTCCCTCAGTGTAGCTCCCTTGCTTTTAACTAGAGGATTTGGTGTGGCCTTAGGGTGAGTCACTGACTGAGGTGAAAAGGTTTTTGTGCTGTTAAAAGCCAAACCAGGTGAATGAAGCAGGGATGCCCTGTCAGCTTCCCAGCTGGGCAACACTAAAAATATACACAGTCTCATTAGCTTTCATGTAATTAACTTTATGAAATATCCTTTGTAGACAGACTCTGGCAACACTCATCTAGGGAGATCACGTTGTCTCCTCAACAGTCAGAAGGTAATTTAAAGGCAGGGAGGGAGCTGGAAGAAAGCACATCTGGGAAATGAGGTGCATTCCCTCACATCCTTCATTCCTCTGAGAGCTGCTGGCAGGAGCGAAGGGGAGGCAAACAAGCAGACAGTGCTTGCTGGAAAACTGCAGATCATCTTGGCCACCTCGGGACTGCCAGCAGTGCCCCATGTCACCCTCCCTGCAGAAACCAAACACAATTTACTGACAACTAATTTGTGTTTTTATGGAAAAAAAACTCCACAAAAACACAGAAGCAACTGCTCAGCTTCTCATCTGTCCTCCTCAAATAAGGAAAGCTTGGGGGTTCTGCACAGGATGTATAACTGTCTCCAGCTCCCTCTGGTTTTCATTTTTCTTGGCTCAGATTTTTCCTCCCCAACACTCTGTGCGTGGCCTGAGCAATTCAGCCTGACAAAGTTTAGCTATGAAGCAAAGCTTTTCCATTTGTAATCCTGATGATATCATTAGTTCTCCAGCTGACATGGTAGCATATATACTGGATGACAAATCAGGCTCCAGCAAGCATTCCCAAGCCCACCATTCTGCAGAGATTAATCCTGTGTGCATTGTGTAACTGGAGGTCTCTGTCCTGGCAATAAAGTGAGCAGCACTGCATTATGACACTAAATTCAGTTCAGATTTGTCAAAGAAGCAGGGGAAAAAGTAGCATAATATCTATTCATAGAGACTCTCCTCCAAAGGGAGAGGAAAATCCCACAGAGCCAAGGCAGGAGAGTGTCTCCCAATATGGGAGACTTCAAGCTCTGTGACAGAAAGATCTTTCAAACTGGAAAGGATTTTACATCATCTTCAAGGAAAAAGGGTATTTCTCCCATCTTCCAGTCTTTCACCTAAGAACACTGAGGCTCAGTATGAACCTTATACATGGCCAACAGCAAAAAGACAATAGCTCTTTACTCACCCATCAAAGACACTGGCTGGAGCTGGATGACAAAGCAGGTACAGAAAAACAAATACTGGAACATCCCACTCAGCCAAGGAACAGTCACCACTCCAGGAACAGAGGCTTGAAAGCCCTCACACACGCTGTGGATCCTGCAGCCTTCCCCTCAGTGGAGCTTCTGACTCCAAGCTTTGAGAAGAGCAAGTGTGATTGTTCTCCTGGGAGTTTATCAGAGGAAGAAGCTGAAGGGATGTGGGGTACAGCTCCAGCCTTGACCTCCTCAGAACAGTGCTGCCTCTCACTGACAGCAGAGATGTACTTACTGATCAATCCTGTGTCTTGGACTCAACTCCCTATTGTTCTGTGGCCTGACTGCCCCACAGTGACACCTCCACTATCTCATCTGGAGACGGACTCTAAGCAGGGCCACCCGGACATCCCGAGGGGATGGAAGAGAAGAACAGATGGGTGCTTGTTATCTCTGCTCCTTCCACAGACTCCAGGGCTCCCCACAGGCAGAAAACATTGGTGAGACCCTTAACTGCAGGAAATAGTGGCCCGAAGAGCAGGATTGAGCCTTCCGAGCAGAGATTGCAGAATGCTTGGAGCAGAGTCACAATGGGAACATCAGTCAAAGTGAGACATTGGTGTCCTACAGGGAAATAGCTGTTCCTATGCTACACAGAGGCCCCTTCCACTTCTGGTCACACAACCTGACCACTGCAGGGAGATTATCAAACAAGATGCTTTTCTGCAGTCTCTAAAAACCAAAACCAAGCCAACAATCCCAATGTTGCCAAGTTAACTCCTATGCAGAACCCAGTAACTGAGAGCCATTCCTTGCCAGTTCAAACCAAACCAGGCTGAGCTGCAGGGGATAACCACAAGCTCTAGATGCAGCACACTGAAATCTGTCCTTTACTAGAGCAAACCCAACAGCATGGCTGGCAGTGAGATACCAAGGACAGCAGGGATAAGCACAAAGGGAACTTCCCTCTCATCCCACACCAGCTCTTACTATAAGAGCTCTCCATCAGCAATGAGTGCAGCCAAGCCTACAGCAATCACACAATCAGGCAAGTGTAGGTATCTTCCCCTTCTCTTCAGGAAGATGTGCTAGAATCCCAGCAGGAAAAGAGTGGCTCCATTATTTCATACTGTGTTGGCCCAAGACAAGACGTTGGGTGTTTGTCTGCTTTGCAGGGATGGTACATTACAGAAAATTCTCAATAGCCTCTCTCTGCCTGGGTGTGTCCCTGCCAGCACAGTGCAATACGCTGCTCTGCTCCACCGCAGCATAGTTTTTTCAATTGTGAATGACATCCCAGCAGGAAAAGAGTGGCTCCATTATTTCATACTGTGTTGGCCCAAGACAAGACGTTGGGTGTTTGTCTGCTTTGCAGGGATGGTACATTACAGAAAATTCTCAATAGCCTCTCTCTGCCTGGGTGTGTCCCTGCCAGCACAGTGCAATACGCTGCTCTGCTCCACCGCAGCATAGTTTTTTCAATTGTGAATGACTGTGAGAAACAACCAAAAAAACCCCAAAATAAATGACTGTCATTGCTTCCACCAAAAAATAATACAAATCCCTATGGCTCTGTTGTGCTGACAGCTGTGCAGCACCAGAAGAGTTTTATCAACAACAGGAAAGGAGAACAGATCCACTACACAAAGCTATCAAGGCAGATAACCCTCAAATGGTGATTATGTGAATTCCCAGAAGAGAAACTAAAATTGAATGGAGAAGAATAAAGCAAGCCACAGGAAGTTACATTCTGCCATTTTCATTGAGAGGTTGATTCATGCTTATCCCAAGTAAATAAAACTGACAAGCATCAAGTGAATGCTCTGTTTGTCACAGGTGTGCACAGCTCCGAACCATTTCAATACCTGCTGCTTTTGTTTGCTAGGGTGGTTTGTGAGCCTGACACAATGATGTTTGGACAGGTACATGTCAGTGAGTGACAGCTGACAATTAACACAGGGAAATAAACTGCTTCAAAGGTGTCACCAACAGGCCCTATCAAGCCCTACAAAATGGATTAAAGCAGAGGATGCCTCAGCACTCCCAGACATGATGCTCTCCTAAATCACCAAAACATCTAGGCCAAGAAAAAGGTCTCAAGCTGGAGTAGATTGTGTGCTGCCTCTAAATGTTTTTCTGAAGCAGCACCAAAGGCAACTCTTCTATCAGCACTTTCTCTTTGCTTTGCAAGTTACTTCAGGTGACACACATGGCTCCAGCCCCTTCATAAACAATCCGTGTCTCAGGGAGCTGTAGCAGTTATTTCTGAGAGGACAAAGGGAGGATAAAAAAACCCAAACAAAAACCTTCCTGCAAAGAGCTGCTCTGGGAGAGAGGATACAATTCCAATGGGATGCTCTGGATGCTGCAGGGCTGCACCCTCCATGCAAATATGGTAATTCTGTTGTTCCTGACCTCCACTTCCACACCTTGAAGATGAGTGAGCCCAACACCCCAGAAGGAATCAGGGCCAAGTTAGCACTTCTCAAAAGAAACCATCAGCACTGTTTAAAAGCTATGAAAAGGGAAGGCAATATTAAATAGAGGGTTGAGATTTATTTTGGTAGCCAAGAGGGATGATCCAAACCAGCTGCAAAGTCCGGGTATGTCTTCTCCGTGCAAGAAATGATGCTCATTTTGTCGGTGGCAATCACACTTCTTGCCTCTCCCAGAGAACTGAAGGACTTTACCATCCTCACACAAAGCATCAGCTGGGCTGGAAAACCTCATACTGTTTGGAATGGACTGATGGATAAAGAGGCTTTGGCATTTGCTGAAGCTCACCTTGGCTTTGTCAGAGCCACCTCCCAAGACACTCCAGTGGCTGATGAAGGGGAGGTGTGTGAAGCACAGATCTGGAGCAGGAACTGCAGCCTGCTAGAAAGAGCAGGAGGAAGAGCTAATCAGCACTTCCTGCTGCCAAGGGAGAGGAGAGGACGGTACACGCGACAGGATCCCTGTCTGCGGCTGATGTGAGGACGTGCACTCACAATGAGCCCTGACAGGTCACCCAGATGGATGGGACCAAAGTCAAGGACTCCGAGATAAGCCTTGGGGCTGTAAACAACTTGTCCCAGGACATGGTGCCAGTAGGAAAGGCTGTGGAGATCAGGGAGTGAACACAAGTTAGTGAAGTGTGAGCAAACACAAGTCAAACACCAAGAATCATGAGATCAGGCAAGTACATCACTACTGGTGAGAAACAGCAGTGATTTCCTTTCCTTAGTGCAGTCCTGTGATGCAGAACTTGGTGTCCTACAGAATCCAGTGCAGTTTCCATGAGCCTCAATTTTCAGATGGAGAGATTTGAGCATAGACAGCAAACCCACCACTGCACAACTAGTCAGGGGCAGAAGCAGGACTAGGACTCATCTTTTACATGCTCACAGAGCCACAATGGCACAGCAGGACTTCGATATACTGCAAGTCTAACTTCCACTCCTGTATTGTACTTTTCACCCCTTGAATGCCAGTATAGAAATAAACCTGACTTTTTTAACAAAAGGAATAATTGGAATCTCTTGGGATAGATAAAAACATACTTAAGATATTCTCTCCTATGTGAAAATAAAGCCACATGTGTCACAGAGGAAAGCAGTTTGCATTTACAACTCCTCACACAAAAAACCCCAGAGGATAGCAAAGAAACTGGTCCACTGGCTCACAGACAGGGCAACTTGGCCAGCTCCACTTGACTGACACAGTGCCAAGGCCTGGCAGCTCCAGGGCATCAGGCTAAACCCACCTAGAGCCAGTAAGAACCTGCAGCAAAGTGATCATCATCACTGCCTGCCAGGCAGGAAGGGCTAGAGGGGAAAAGAAAAAGTGCTGCTTCTTTGCTCTTGAGGAGAAAGGAGCCATGAACACCGCCCCTGGAGGGGTTGGCAAGGAAATTATTTGAAAACCCTCTCAAAGGAAAAGAGGAACAGAGGTTAATCAAAAGAAAATCGGTAGAAAAACCAGCACCTGAAGATTGCAATGCACACTCTGCTCATCCTTCCCTGAGGAATGCAGTGGCACATTAAGATTCAGGCAGCACTGAATCTGCTCTCAGAGTGCTGCCAGAGGGACAGGAGCCTATTTACCTGCCCGGCTCTGAGACCTCAAACAGCTACTGCAGGGAGTGCTGATGTTGGGATTTAACAGTGTCAGGAGAGCAAACAAACACGGCACTTCCCCTCAGTGCTGGCATTCCGAGGCACTGGGAGTTGAGGGTGAGGTTTGTGGCAGGTCATCCACCCCCAGCAGAGACCATGTGTGCACTGGTAGTGCAGGGAGGTGTGGGACAGCAATCCCAAATCAACATACTGTGCTGCTAGATGTCAAGAGTCTTCAGTTCTGGATGCCAAAATGGGCAACTTCTTATGCAGCCGAGCCAAAGAATTTATCTGGGGAGGCCAGCAGCTCATCTGGACACTAAGGGCTGCTTGGAGGAATAAAGTCTGTCAGCAGAAATTAAAGGTAGGTGACAACTAACAACTTGAAGCCTTTCCCCTCCAGATTTAAAAGCCACAAGAATTGGTGTTCCAAATACTGGCCAATCATGGATATTACTTTCTTTTAAAATAGTCAAAGATAGAAACCTTCTGATACCAAACATCTCATCCTAACCAACCATAAAGTCAGGACAAAGTACAATCTGTTAATTCCCAAAGTGAATGAACAAATCCTGTCACCAGAACAAATTCAAGGGCCCAGAAAGAAAGGAACGAAGCTTAAAACTTTAGTATTCCCCCGAAACAGCACTTGAATGCAATATAGAAATACACTGACACCACTTGGGACCTTTCGGGTCACTGGGCATTACCTGCCCAAGTATATTCTTATCCTGCTACTGTGCTGGTCAGACAAAGCAGATCTTTGTTAGACCAAGAGTCTCTAGCTCTACCTCACCACCTCAACTGCTCCTGAGGTCCCTGTGTTAGGCAGCCAGGCATGGATCTCCATCCAAGTTTCTTCAGCAGAGCTATATCTGCATCCCCACGAGGGAAGGTCAAGGAGAAACCACCTAAACAAAGAGAAATGGAGGAAACTCAGCAGAGCTGCCACACGTGAGATATGCTCTTCTCAGCTGGGGAAAATAACATTGTTCAAGAGCACTGATTCAAAAATTGAATAGTTATTTATTGTTCCAGAAGTACATTGCTCTTTTATACATATTTCATAAATGATACAGGATTTTACACATGTTCAGTTTGTGTTTTTTCTTTAAAGGACTTTTCTCCATGCTCCCTCCCTCATCCCAAACACACACCAAGGATTCAGCTACAGGATTGTGTTCATGTTTTTTCCCTTTAAAACTCATCACACAAACAGGATAAAACAGATAAAAAAATGATCACACAATGTAATTAAATGGAAAGACAGAGGAAAAGGGGAAGGGAAAAAACCAAAACTAGAAACATGCTCCCATGGGGTCCAACATGCCATTGAGTGAGAAGAGGCAGCAATCCCAGCTGTGTTTCCACATCTGCAAGGCACCTGGAGTCTAGTGTTAATAATCAATTATTTTCTTTCCTATTTTTTAAACATTCTCAAAAAACCCCAACCAGAAGCCTCTTTCCATGACACAGTGAGGAGTAGTAGTGAAACATCAAAAAAGCAGCCAGCCTGTCTGTATATATAGCTTAGTGTCCTTCTCCCACCTTCATCCTGTGTCTCCACAGTGTTTAGCAACAGGATGCTAAAGCAGACTGACCTGCTTTGAATAAAGAGATGTTTTATCTGCTGAAAAATCAGCCAGCCTTGGCTAGGAGAGAGGGCAGTGGGTTGACTTTCCTTCCTCTATTTCTTTTTAGCTAAGAACAAGAGATGCCATAGCCACTCCTAAGAAATTCTGACCTGTGGACATAAAGTTCATTTAAAACTATTTAACTGGGGGAAGTGCTGAAGAGCTTAAGTAGTTCTGTGTCTTGCACTGTTCTTACAGCTCTCAGAAAGCCTCTGTGCAAGGGAAATGCTTTGACCATATATGAAACCTTTTATCCCTTTACACAAGCAGCCAAATATCAGGTTTCATGGTTCCATGTCCCATAGCTGTTCATTTAAAAGCAGAAGTCATGAATCTGTGACAGTATTGTTATCTTTTAAGCCTTCATGACCTCATAGTCCAGGTGGCTATCAGATTTGGGGGAGGAAGAAGGGAATCTCCCTCCCTTAAGACTGAATATGAAAAAACCTCTCATGCAATGCTGCCATGGATTTCTAGAAGGGGCATTGGGACACAAAAGTTTATATAGTTCCTATGGAATACTCCAAAATCTCAATTATCAAAGGTCCAGAAGAAAACTCATCCCTTCTCTCACTTGGCTACAACCAATCTGTGCTACAGACAGGCAGAGGAGGAAGTCAGTGGAGCACAGGGGTGGGCTGGGAAGGGGAAGCTCACGGTTTCCAGTAGAAAGCAGTCTTGTAGGAACCTTAGAAAAGAGCCCAGGTCTGACAGAAGTGTGCGTGTTAATGGTGGTGGAGAGCGAGTTCTGATCACCAGCCAGAGCTCCAGGTGGCTTGGGGTCTTTGTTCTTTTGGGGTTTTTCTCCTTTTGAGTTTATTTTTGAGAGAGAAAGAGAGATTGGAATCAGGTAAAGGAAATTAAAAAAGCTAAGCAGGCTGCTGGTGTCCTACCAAGAGGCAGAGCCTGCAAAGCTGGAAGAAGACACCCTTACACCCCAGCATTACATTCTTGGCATGAACCCCCCAATCCTGTATTTGTACACAATTGCCATTCAGACAGTTCAAATGTGACTATTTGCCAAGCCCTTTTCAGAACTAACATTCCACAATGTCCCATCTTCAGATCTAAGAGATTTCCCCCCCTTACAGTCCTTTGTCTTGATCCAAGGTAAAAACCCTCCACCCCCCACACCACCTCCAGCTTCCACCTGCAATGCTGTAATTACAAAAGGCCAGAGCTATGAACAGGTTTTTGCTGGGGTTCAGAGCTTCTCTGCTGATCAGTCCTTTTCAGAAATCTGCTGGATGGGCAGATGAACCTGCAGTGGATCTCGAAGCCTCTTAAGGTCCAATTCTGCCTAAAAGCAAAAGACACATTATAAAGCACAAGCTCCCAATATGCCTTCCTCCAACCACTTCCCTGTAGAGAATGCAAAGCTTTGCCAGATTTCTTTGGTTTTCCTGTCCAGAAGGAAAGTGTTCAAAGAACAAAACAAAGTCACAGGCTCATGCTTGGGTAAACCATTCCCAGCTGTACTTCTCTGAACTTGTCTGCATGCAGCCACTGAAAGGAATATGGGATGGGAAGAGCTGACCCCAATCTTACTCCTTTAAAAAAATTCTCAAATCAACACCTCAACCAGATGAATGGGAATGGTTGATTGTAGAAGAAAAGCTCCAGGAAAATATAACCACCCAAAGGTATCTGTATTCAGCGCAAGAAAGACCTCTGGATCTTTCCATAAGCAGCTGCTTCTCCAAGGCAGGAGGAGAACACTTCTCTGGATATCCTACACTCTCATTTCCAGAGCCTAGGAATAAAGGATGATGCAGAGCAGTGAAAAGGAATGTGGTAGCTCTGCTTTTCCTCCTATCCTTCTGCAGAAAGGCCCTGAAAAACACAAGGAGAGATCTCTATCTGACTCCTTTGCTGAACAGATCCCACAGTGTGGAACAGTCTGCCACAAGTGTCTGTCTCCAGAGCCTGAGAAATGTGCCCTCGTGGTCTCTAACAATACAGCTATATTTTCTGAGCATTATTTTCCAGGCCTGCAACCCAGCGCACTCAAGTGCCATGTCAGAGAGACATGGACTGAATGGATGCAAGTCTTCATTCCTCACTAAATCCATCTGGTGTGTAGGAGCTGAGAAGAAAAGAAATCTTGAATTAGGCTCCTCTGAGGCATGAAGTGTCTGAAGCAACTCAAGATTTGCCAGCAGTTCCTAAAGGGCCCTTACAGATGGATATAGGCACCCACTTCATGTTGATTTACACATCCAGCAGTGCTATTCCTGGGCACATTAAAGCCAATTCAGTGATTGCACTGGGGTTGTGACAAGAAAATGGGCTGAAAACTTAAGATACATTCATTCTTGCTTGAGGTGTGTCTATTAATAGCAACTAAGAGCTAGCAAGCAGTAATTTCTTTGTCTTATCTCTGGAAAAATCCTTGTTACCTGAGCAATTGCATCCTTGAGTTGATTGTATTTCTCTAGATCAAATCGTGTCTTTTTGGCTCCTTTATGGAAAAATAGTAAGTACTGTCTGTCTCTGGCATCTGGATAAACATATTCCTAAGGAGAAAAAAAGGAGAGAAGATAGGAATGAAGCTACACAGGATAGCATCAGCAGAGTATTGTCTCAGGGGTGTTTTAGGAGGGTGACTAGTTTCTGACAGGTCTAAGCTCACCCAGGGTGGTGAGAATCCAAAGGAGATTAAAAAAACCATGAAAAACTTAAGTGTCAAGATAAAGACAGTTTAGTAAGTGAAGAAAAAAACCCCCAACAACATAAAAGTGATGCAAAAGCAATCACTCACCACCTCCCAGCAGCAGACCAATGCCCAGCCAGACCCTGTGTGACAGCAGCTTTGGAGAGACTTTCTCCCCCAAGTTTATTGCTGAACTTGACTTATAAGGCATGGAATATCCATCTGGTCAGCTCAGGACAGCTGTCCCAGGTGTGTCCCCTCATAACACCTCAGCCACCTCGAGCCTGTTCCCAGGGGTGGAGAGTTGGGAAGGGGCAGGTCAGGGAGGAACAAGAACCAGAGAAGACCATGATGCTGTACAAACACCATTCAGCAATAGCAAAAGCACTGGTGTGTTATCAAGGCTGTTTTGGTCACAGATCCAAAACACAGCACCATACCAGCTGCCCTGAAGAACATTAACTCCATCCTAGCCAGACAGAGTCCTAGACAGACTCAGACAACATTTGCTTCCCTGCTAGTATGTTACACTCCCAGCAGTGAGTTACCACCACCTCCTGTTCCCAGTGTGTGAATCCTTCCATGCAGAGCGAACACAAACTAACACATTTCAGGGGGCCAATACTCACAAGTTTGTGAGAAGGGAAAAAAAAAAAAAGCAGCTATAGATACCGGACGCAAGGCTTTGTAAGATAGTCCTTACCCTCTTTTCCTTAAGATCATAAATATGCAACGGCTAATTAAAGCAGCAATAGCTGCTCATGAGTTCATCTCTCAACCAAGCAGGAACAAGCACCCAATGCCACAGCTTCTGCCAGGATACTCTGCTGCAAAATGCTACAGCTTTTAGTGTGTGCAGGCAACTTGGAGCAGCAGAGCTGTGCACACCAATCCCTGTGCGCACCAAGCCTCTGCAAGGAACAGAGCTGC